GAGCTTGACACATAAAGCAATTTGTACTCCACTTAACCAATATGAAAAACAAACAAAAATTGGATATAAGACAAATTTTCCAATTAATGGCTTTGAACAGTTATCCTTAGATCTCTACCTCTTGTGTAGTGAGGATGACAAGTGTGTGCCACTGGCACTGGGGTAATTTTTCCATTGTTAACCTCCAGCTTTCCTCTATAATCTGGGAAGGAAACTGAGACTTCCAATTGCTTTAATATCATCAAAATATTTGGGATGGTTGTTATTGAGTTACAAACTTGTTTACTAAGTTGAGCTTTCTCTCATGTGACAGGAAGTAAATGAGAAATGTACTCCAACAAATGTGTAAATCACAATTAAAAAGGTAGCAATATGAAGAATAAAGGGAATATGACAATTCTAAAACCTCACAACTTAATAACTATAGGCAAAGATAATGATTTGGTTGGAATGTCACATAAAGAATTTAAAAACCTACTTCAAAAAATGAACAGTAACCTCAAAGAGGATTTAAGTAAGCAGAAACATGAAGTTTGGTAAGACCTAGACACAAAATCAGCAACATGAGCTGGTTGCTGAGAAGCTTATACCTAAAAACCTAGCTACTCAGGGGGCTGAGATCTGTTGACTAGGGTTTGAAGTCAGTTGGGGCAGGAAGATCTAGGAGACCCTTATCTCCATTTAACCAGCAAAAAGCCAGAACTTGAGGTGTCGCTCATGGAAAAGCACCAGGCTTGAGGGAAAAAGCTGAAAAAGAGCTTGAGGCCCTGGCTTCAAGACCTAACACAGGCACACAAAGAAGAGCTTACTTGTTTACTGTGCATGGAAATGTAATTATACAGAACCAAACTGGCACAAAGCTATGTTGGGTAGACTCCTTGATGTACGATGCCTAGCCTAGGTGCCATAATCTTGTGCTTCCCATTTCTGTTCTTAATGGTGCCTTAAGTGTAGGTGATGTAGTTTTGGAATGTAGAGACAGTCTTTTAGTGTTTTAAGTGTCTGTTCATTTTCTGTTCCCTATATGAAGTCCTGTGACATTCTTGTAACTTAACATGTAAGTTTTAGTACAATGTTTAAATATGCTATGTGATGTCTCCAGTTACCAAATAATCTTATCAGCTCTTGAATTTCTTCTTTAGATATAGGAATCTCTATTTTCATAGTTTTGTTTGGTACTCTCTGTGGATTCTGCATGTCATCTGATTAACATGAAACTTTTAAATATGTGCACATGGTATCTGGTCCTGGTGTCTTTTCCTCATGAATAGTCAACTTCCAGTTTCTCACTGCCTATAGTAGTCGTTTCTTTTCTGCTCCCTAATTTTTCCATATTGTTTTATTATTAGGTCATCTATGTATGATCTAATTTTCCTGATTTAGATGATACTTCTAAATGTTCTATTGTTGCTCTATTGAAAGCCTTGTGGGAGACCTACAAATTGGTATTGTTTGCCTTCCTATGTAATAGTTGTATGTTCTTGGCCTTTCCAATGTCTAGTTATTAGAAAAGGCATGTCACATATAAACACACACATGTCAGTACTTCTAATTCTACTGAGTGAATTTATTAATTACTTCTACATCTGGTAATGCATCAGTGACATAAGACATACCCTATTAGGTTCTTCTACCCTACTTTTAGTGTGTAGAGATCATTAGGTTTTAAAACTGGCCATATTGAGCTATTAAAATTATTAAAACTGACAAAAATATTTTTCCTTGAGTATACACATTATATTGTCCATAACTTCTGTTTGTCCAATCTTTAATGTGTACTGTTGTGTCTTGGGAGAAGGTTGGATATAACTATTATCTGCCACATTTCCAGTGTACATTTCATATACTTTAGTGGCCAGTAATTATGTGTGTATGTGCATGTGTGTGTGTGCATGTGTGTATGCAGGCATGCTGGAATTGAAACTTGACCTGAGGGCCTGGGTGGTGTCCCTTAGGAATCTCAAGGCTAGCGCCCTACCACTTGAAGATTTTGACAGGTGACACAATTCAGAGCACGTCCCTTCTGGAAAATAAATAATGTTCATGGAAGGCTCAATCATATTCAGTTGTCGTCGGTTGATGACCAGCTCTTTGTTGCTGACACCTGTAAGAGATGCATATTGTCCAAACCAAGATGTTCATATTCTCATGGCTTTGGACCCAGTGATAAGTGTCCTAGAGCCTAGGCCCACCTTCTCTGTTCAATTTTGTTCTCTCATCTAACCCCCCCTCCTCAACAAATACAAGGGAATGGACAGGGCAGATGAGGACCAGAGCGGCAGCTTTGGGGTTTAGGTGATGATATTCCTCAGCAAGATACAGAAGTGGCCATGACTCTCATGACCACACTGCTCTATCACACCTACCTTCACCCCAGTGATGATTAGCAGGCTGTGCAACCTAGGCTGCCTCTGAGACTAACTAGCTGTGTGAACTTGTTCCGTATATGAAACTCTGAGTTTGGTCACTAGTGGGCTTTTCAGCCAGCAGGTCTGTGTTGAGGTATGAAAAGGAAAAGATAGGAGGAAAGAAAGAAGAGGGGAGGGGAGGGGATGAAAAAGGAGGGGAAGAGGAAAAGAGTCAAGAAATTCAGTGAGGCTTGAGGAAAACTCAGATGCCCCAGCCCAAACAACAGCAATATTTCAAGTCCAGTGACAAGGGAGTCTTACTGCCATGCAGAGGTTCTTACTGCCACCTAGAGGCCACTACACACAGGCCATCTTTGGCTCAGAGACAAAAGAGAGTTTTCATTAGGACTGCTGGAGATTCATTTTAACACAATTCCTCACAGGGTACCTGCCCCCAAAAGACATCTCACACATTGTAGGAGAAAGTCAGGGGAAATTCTGAGCAGCAGCTCCCAATAAGTATAGCAAGGGAGGGATGGGAGCAAGCTCCTGAGCCAAGCATTCAGGTGCTGCTTAGCAAGACACATTTCTCAAAGTAGACTCTGGTAAGCGAGGTTTTCAGGATAACATTGTTTGGAGCTCATGGCCCACATCTCCATATGAAACCACAATGGCGTCACTTTGGTATTACAATATTGTCTTTAACCCCTCCAACTGATGATCAGCCTGACAATGAGGGAGCACCCAACTGCCTAGACAAGCATACAAAATGCCATATTTCCAGACAAGAATACCTCTCCTTGATGCTTCCTCATCAGATTCTCAGTGCCAGAGGACGGTCTTCACTCAAATGTGAAGCACTCGAATGAGAAGGCACTTTACACTGTGCACTTGGTTACCCCCTGCCCTCACTACTCACAGGGTGACAAGACCCAGCCTCCAGCTATCAGTCAATGACCATGGAGAGTTGTGTGACAACTGCTCAGGGAAGAAGCCTCAGGGACGCTCAAACAGAGTAGCTCTGGGTAGAGAAAGGTCTTCCCTGAGGAAGGAACAGGGAGAGACCCTCACAAGCAGGAGAGGCCTGGTGACCTCAGAGCACAGCCAGGGGCTGATTGCAAACAGATGAAAAGTAAAGGGACTGAGGGCTGGCCTGGGGCAGATGCGTGAGTGTAACAGAAGGTGTGCTAGTGGCCTCTGGGGTGGGGAAATGAGGGCTCTGCATGTCCTAAGAACATGCCCATGCTACCACCAGTTCTTCACTTAGGAATTCTCCACCAGGTCTTGAGTCTAGCAAGGATGAAGGTCCCCACTACCTGAGAGGCACAAGGTAGGAGAGAGAATAGGTTAAATGCAAGGCCACACACCGATTCATGCTGCATCACCAGCCCCAGGGCTAAGGCTCTAGACCTAAGAGCTTGGCGATGGAGAAACTGGAGCAAGTCAGGACAGCAATGAAACTCCCCCGTGATCACTGATCCTCATGTTGGATGGACTGTCTGACTCACCTGACTATGCAAGTTCTTCAAATGCCAAGATAAGAAACATTTATTATAGAGAGCAAAGAACGTTCTCATCTAAAATATAGAAGTGTGTACAAGTTTGGAACATCAATACACATGAACTGTACAAGTTTACACCAGTGCATAATTTACCAAGTAAAAGATTAACAATGTTCTCAAAATAAATGATATTTTCTGGAAAAGATTTTCTCAACTAAGTACAACAATAGTTACAAACCAGACAGACCTCCAGTTTCTAAAAATAGGAAGTTCAAGTAGTCTTAGAAAATTATGAGCTGACAAATGTACAGTGCTGGCTGGTGCTAATACCCCAATTGAGAGAATGTCATTTTAAATATTTAAGGATCTATTTAAAAGGCTGTTGCCAAGGCAGATTTTGGTCACGGTATTTTCAAATACCGAGTCTGACCATTTCCCCAGCACATACAGACTAGTTTTTCTTTTTCTATTTTTTTGGGGGGTGGGGTCCGGTCGTGGGGCCTGAACTCTGGGCCTGGGCACTGTCCCTCAGCTCTTCAGCTCAAGGCTAGCGCTCTACCACTTGTGCCACAGCGCCACATCCGGCTTTTTTCTTTTTGCTTATGTGGTGCTGAGGAATCGAACCCAGGGCCTCATGCATGCAAGGCAAGCGCTCTACCACTGAGCCACCTTCCCAGCCCCAGACTAGTTTTTCTTTATGTACATTTATACGTATTGAAGTGCTTGGTAAAGATTTGTAGTAAAGTTTCCAGTACTACTAAGTTTAAAACATTGAGCTTTCCAATAAAGCTCCCTAAATGATTTTGAAAACAAGTTCAAGTGTAACAGTGCAAATTCCTCTGCATGATATATTGCAGAGAAGGGATCTTAGACATAGATTTTCTTAAGGTGACTGATGTCAAAATTTAGTTAGAATATCTGGTGAATAACAGAAATCATCCTAGAACTTTACTCCATAGTAAGTAGAGTGATCATTTGCTTTAACTTATATGCCATTAAATAATTGAAAGGTACTGCCCTAACTATGGCACGCTTACATCAAAACTTTAACATTGTATCTTGCAAAAAATATTCACAGTTCAGTTATGATGGAAATTCCATAATCTATTACCCAAAGGATCCCATGGAAACAAAACTTTTAAATTTCCATTCACTGCAAGATGAGCCATCCATAGACTACACCTTCACTAGAGACAGTCATCATATTGTAGGTTTTGGAAGGGCTTCTGCCCAGGAACATTTCCTCCTTACAGCTGCTTCTGTTGTCTACCATTTGCATGGTGGAGGTATTCTGAATGCTCTCTCCTGGGGGTGAGGCCTCATACAGCACACAGATGGAGCCATCTTCTCCAATTCTATAGCACACTTCGTAAGGGTCAATCCAGAGTGTGAGTTCACTTGGGAGAAGCCTGAACAGCTCCTGACTGCTCAGTCCAATGCGCTGGGCAGCCTGTGCAATCAGAGGATCCATTTTATGATTGATGCGAATACAACGATAACCTGATCCCTTGAATGGCATGTCTGGGAACCAGTGATGTTTATAATGTTCTGCCAGAAGCTCCTGAAGTGTCTGGCTGAAGGTGTGCAGCAGGACTTCGCTTGTGAGCCCTTTGGTGCGGAGGAACTTGGAGATGAAAGCCACTGCGACTGTGATCTCGCACATCATGTTGGAAGTTGAGGGGTACAAAGGATTCATTGGAACGGCAACCGCCGGTGGCTCAGGTTGGCATGGGATGGGTGGGAAGACCCCAACAGCAAAGTGGCTAGCCCATGCTCCCTCAGGCACCAGGCAGCTGGGAGGAAAAGAAAGATGCTTTAAGGAAGAGACAGCAACCTTTTATCCTTTGTTTTTGTAGAGTAAAAAAAAAAGTTATTCTCAAGACAGGAGGCTGTGGAGATAGAAAACCAAGGAACAGTGACCAGATAACATTGCTCAGACTTCCCAATGGCTTGTGTGTCCTGCTCTGTAGCCTCTGAAGATCCCCACAGCTGCGCTTCCATCTCCCACGGGCTCAGACTGGTAGTGGTGCACGGAAGTTGCCCCTGGAGTCTTTTGAAGACTGAGGAGAAGAGCTTTCCTTGTTCTCCAAGGGGCTGAACATGCTAGTGTCTCACAGACACTGAACAAAGGATGGTCAAAGTCCCAGACGCAAACACGCAGAACACAGAGGAAAGAACTCAGGAGACTGGCTTTCCCACAAGGCCTTTCTTTGACTAGACTCCAGAGAGCACTGGGAAGAAGGCTGATGTCTTACACTCCTAATCCTGGTGGACACAGGCCACTCTTCAAACTGAGGAGAATGTTGGCTAAGGGTCTACAGAGGCCACAGAATGGCAGTGTGCATAAGTCTAATGAACACACACAGTTCTGTGCTGAGTGCCACAGCTGTGGCATCCCTGGTCCCTTTCTTCACTACTCTTATGGGAGCTCCCCAGGTACCATCCCTTTTCTGAGTCCTCTGCAGTTCAGAAGCTGGTGCTACCATTTGGCACACATGTCAAAGGCTCATTCTCCACAGTGCCAACACTGCAAGGTGAGGCCTTGTTCAGTGAGGTCTCCAGGTTATAGACACCATGCCCCAGAAGAAACTGTGCAACCCCAGCTGATCAGGTCTCTTCTTCTTCCTGGCTTCTCTTGCAAGTCATTTTCTCCATCACATACTTCAAGCAGGATGTGTCCTCACCAAACCCCCAAAGACATGGGGTCACCTGATCTTGGACTGACAAGTTCAGGCCTATGAGCTAAATAAACTTATCAATAAGTTGTCTCACATATTTTGCTGTATTGCTATGACGCTGACTATCACAGCTAGGAAGGCCACCAAAATTTTGATAATGTTGCCTAAGATGAGACCATCTATGTCAGAGAAGGACAGAAGGGATTTTTAACTGAAAATTCTAGCACCTACCTTGAGAGGCAGACCCAAGGAACTCTGTTTGGTTTCTTAGCATCTAAGTTCACATGCTTCCAGGTACAAGCCAAGTCTTTGAACAAACACTTTGTAAACATGTTTGAAAGCGTCATGATACCTGGTGTGGTGGTGCACATGTGTAATCCAGCACTCAGGATGAGGAGGACTAAGATCAAGGCCATCTGGATCACATAGGGAATTTTAGGCTGGCCTGGCATATTTAGTGACACCCTCTCTGAAAAGGAAAACAAAAACAAAAGCACCATGTCCACTGACAAATCTTGTGTCCAGACACAGAATTAAGGAGCCTTCAGCCTGGAAGCACTTGGAGAGGGTCTCCTTCAAATCCTGGTAGCATCTGGTCACAGCAGAGCAAGAGAAGTAAGACACCTGTTGCAGTCCCCTTTTAGAAACTATGGCTGACCTGAGAGAGGGAAAAGGGTACCACTGAGTGGGATGAGGACTCTTGATCTTTTCTGCTTAGGTGAGATTCCATTGCAGACTCTATCTCTATACAGAGTAAGCCCAAGGATGAGATGCTAAAGAACATGTATCACCCAAACCAGTGACACGGCCAGGCACGGGTGCTTCATGCCTATTATCTTTGCTACTCAGGAGTGTAAGATCTGAGGACCATGATTAGAAATCAATCTACACAGGAATTTCTGAAAGACTCTTATCCCCACTTAACCACCAAAAAGACACACTGAAAGTGGTAGTATGCTTGCCTTGAGATGAAAAAGCTAAGGCACATTGTGCAGTCTTGGTCCTTATGTTCAGCCTCATTCTGGGCACACACACACGCACGCACGCACGCACACACACACACACACACACACACACACACACACACACACACACACACACACACACACACACACACACTCCTTCCCTCCAACAACAAAGTCAAATGCCCTCTCATCTAGGTGGTTGATGACCATCATTAGTTCTATTGTGGCCTTTTATCCAGCCACACACATGCTCTCGACTTTTCACGTGCATACTGGTGAACTGTAGCTCTGGACTAGTCATGTGTCATTTATCAGTGTGAGTTTGCCCTAGGATAGATTCCATGAAGACTGGACCTCAGAAATGAAATGGAAATCTATGACATTGCTATGGGGATCCACAAATAATTGAGATTTGGAGACAAGCAGAGGTCAGTTTGGATCCCAAAGCACAACCAACGCTATGGCCATACCATTCTAGTCCACACCGTGGAGTATCACTATCACAGATGAACAAGATCTCTCCTGTCTTTCCACCCATAGACATTCCACTACCATGGCTACACACTGACCCACTGGCAGCAAAACACACCCTTCCCTTGGCTCCATCTGATTTGACCATGCAACTAGCAAGAGTGAGTAGGAGAAGCCAAGTGTGGGTTTAAGGTCTGCCTCAGACAGTGTTGGCCCTGTGCAGACAGATCCCTACCTATTGGGTAAGTTTCCACCCAGTATCTATGTTACCTAAGTAACTGGCACATCTGGAAGCAGTCACCTCCGTTCCTTCTAGGTCATATCCTGGGTAGTCCCTGATCATGCCTCCCATTTGACCAAAGAAGGGTTCTAGGCCCCGAGGTCACATCCAGACCCCATCTGGCCACTCCTTTGTCCCATCTGGCCACACCTCTTTCCCTCCTTGGCGTAGCTAACTCCTGGACGTTGAGTGGGTCACCCCTCTTTGGCCATGCCTTTCCACCCTGTAGGGTGGGGCAGCATTTTGGTAAATAAACTTCATTTCCTGCTTGAATACTGCATGGTATTCTGTTACTGGGCTACCTAATGAAACCTACCTATTTAATATACCTTACAGTGTGTAGCTCATACACATAATGCTAGCTACTCAGCAGGCTAAGATCTAAGTATCACAGTTCAATGATAGTTGGGGCAAGAAAATCTAGGAGACATTCATCTCCAATTAACCACCATAAATCTGGAAGTAGAACTGTGCCTCAAGTGGTAGAATTTTAGACTTGAACAACAAATCTCAAGGACAGCATGCAGGCCCTGATGAAGCTCAAGGATCAGCACTAAATAAAAAAAGAAAGAGTAATTGGAAGGGAGCATAGAAAGGCAGATATGGTGGTGGAGAAAGATTGAGTTACCAACCAAGTTCAGGCCAAGCTTCCTTAGAGGTACAGACACCCATTGACAGACCTGATACAGGTAGTCTAGGTAGTAAACTAGGTTGGCATCCTAATAAAAAGGTGGAACTTAGAGATAGTTGTGCACACAAGCCAACAACCATGAGAAGACAATGTCAAAGGTAGATGAATGTGACTTCACAGATCATGAAGTGCCATGACTGCCAGGCAATCAGCATATACTAGAAATGGGACACGGCATAGTGTTTCTGTCACAGAAGCATAGTCCTCATCAACACATTACCTTCAGATTCACTCCATTAAGAATTGAGGGGCAGGGGCTGGGAAGGTGGCTCAGTGGTAGAGCGTTTGCCTTGCATGACTGAGGCCCTGGGTTTGATTCCTCAGTACCACATAAGCAAAAAGAAAAAAGCCGGAAGTGGCGCTGTGGCTCAAGTGGTAGAGCGCTAGCTTTGAGCTGAAGAGCTGAGGGACAGTGCCCAGGCCCAGAGTTCAGGCTCCACGACCGGACCCCCCCGCCCCCCAAAAAAAAAGAATTGAGGGGCAATGCAGTGTTCATATAGTAGAAAGAATCATGTCTGATCAAGGCCAGCAAGACAATGTATGAGTGCTGTCTTTATGCCATGGGCATAAACTGATCCCCACACATCTCCACTGGGTACACCCCAATTTTTTCATCAAACTGAACAGTAAACTAATCTTCATGTGCCTTTTTAATTGTCTCTGTTTACCTAACTATTGCTCTACCATGGACATTTCCATTTTGTTTCCCACTCTCTTCCACTAGAAATTACATTGTCACTGACACTGCTTCTCTGAAGACAGCAGCCAAAGGTGCTCTTTACTCACACATCTCATTGTCCTGTGTGTCATCATTCTACTCAGGGTGACAAACATCACTCTATTCCTTTCATGTGGATTATTTATGATGTAAGTTTTTGCCCCTCCTAGCCCTAGACACGTCTATGTATTCTAATGGGAGATATGTCCAGAAGAGATTTGCCAACTTCCCACCACTCCGCTTACTAGCCCACCCAAATCTTGTCACCACCACCACCCTCTCCCAAAGACGAAGGATGAGCTGCCTGAGTGGAAACCCTAGTGAGAACTGGTTTAATAACAAGGGGTCTTTGACCCTGCTACAGATCTTACCTGCCTTGTGGCTGAGAAGGATACACTCTGAAAACTGTCTTTTCCTTCACCTGCAGAAGCAGAAGGGATAAGGAACAATGGTCAAGTACAATTCAGCAATATTGCCCAAGTAGCCAAGATGGTCTTCTACTCAGTGAGCACTGGAATCCATTAAGGGCTAGGAAGTTTGGCCTCATGGGGAATAGCCCTGTGCACCTCACTTTCATAGTGAGAAGTTTCTTCCCAGCCTAGACCAAGGATCACGAGATGCACCATACATAAGAACAGAAAGCCAGTTCAATAAATGGGCTGTGTTCTTAGGGAAGCATGTACACTCTAACAGTAGGAAAGTGTCCACTCCCCCGACCCCACTCACAGCGACACTGCCATATTTCAGGGGTTCTATCCTCTTAGTCTAGATCTGTTGTATGGTAGCACAGAACATAGAGCTGGGCATCGCACAGTCTGGGGTCTCAGGGAGTCCCTAGCCATGGGGCAGTATGGGATGGATGGGATGATGTTCAAGTAGCAGCATAGAGGCCT